CTAAAATTTACTCTTTCATTCAATTTCCAGCCAACCTGGTAGCTCTAACCTCTACCTTGATGCATGAGGTACAGGACTGATTTTCTGCATGAGTTTATGTGCCTGAGTCTGATGGACTTGGGAGTGCCTTCAGAATGAGGATCCTACCCATTGTGGTTCCTTCTTCCAAGGCTTGAATCCTCTTTGTTTTCTGTCTAATTTAATTGTTCTCCAGTGCCTTTGAGCAGATATTTTTAAAAAACATTTTGTGGAGTTTACAATTATCTGTAAAGTAGTTAGTCCCATGCAAGCTACTGCACTGTTATGGAAACCAGAATTGCTTTTTAATTTTATTCATAGTGTTTTTGAAATTTGGAAGTTTCTAATTTCCATGTAGTCAAATATTTTCCCTGGTAGTTTCTGTCTTAACTTTTTTTATATGTAGAAAATTCTCTCCCACCCCAATAGCTGATCAGTTTTCACCTTTATTTTCTTTCATTTTATGTTTGATTTTGCTTTTTGGCGTTCTCTCTTCAATTCTTTTTGAAATTATTTTGAGATATAACATGAGGTAAGTCTATAACTCTGTTCCCATCCCTCCACCCAATGGTTCTCCAGTTTATTGAACAGCCCATCTCTCAATTGCTGGTATGAAATGGCATCATTCATGGGTACTAACCCATCCACCCCTCTCAAACAAAGCCAGACAAAAGCAGTGGGACATTCTTGGCTCCAGTCCCAGCTTGGATCCATAAGACAATGGTGAAAGCAGACGATATCAAGCTTCCTCTTGGATATTGTGGCTGATGGGGAATCAACGGCTTACACTCTTTTACTCTACCGTCCCTTGTGTCATTTCCTGCCCAGGTTTTTTGATATTCAGCTATGTGAGTGATGCCCCACTCTGATTTCCAAGACAGTTTTGACTCCTTAACCACCTTGGATCATGAGATGTTATTCATGAACCCAGGAGACTAGCAAGCTTTCTCTTAGATATTATGGATGACTGGGATGGTATAAACATTTCTCTCTTACATTGGTTGGATCTTTTCCACAGGAATTTGGGAGGAGGAGTCCAACACAAGGACTTGGAGCCCCTCCCCTGCCAGCCCAGGTTGTCATTTAAGAACAAATGCATGAACAGACCCTTGCCACAGTTTATCACAATATACGCACATCCGTAGCCCCCTGCTGCCTAGTTCTTTAGACCTTTTCATCCCCTCATTCCCTAACAGCCCTATATTGGGGGTGGAGGTGGGAAGGTTATTTTCTTTTGTTTTAATTTGCCTTTGGTTTCATTTTATTTTTATTTTTAAGTTTACTCATTGCCGTGAATGTGTGAATTGGCTTGCTCCACCCCCATTCCAATATATTCTGGTCCGCTTTCCTGTGCTGCAGAAACTGGAAAGCCTAAAACTACATTTTCTAGATTCCTCTGCAGCTGGGGTTCCGGTTATGATTTAGGTTTCACCAACCAGATGTACTGTAGTGAGATTTTGATTTGGGACTGAGTGACATGGGACAGAGGCAGGAATACAATTTTGCTGGTAAAAATAGTGGCCAGTGGAGCTTTGTTCTAGAGCTGGAGGTTGTGGAAGCTTTTTAATTCATTTTGTAGCAGGTATAATGTATACTGTGGTAGCCCAGGATACAGGCTGGAGTTTTGGAGGTTATTCCTGGAAGTCAGCCTGGAGTCTGTTTCTTCAGTTTTCCCAATGCCTCATCAATTATCTGTACCTCTCAATAAATCCTTTTGTATTTAAACAAGCTAGAATAGATTCTCTTGTTTGCAATTAAGAACCCTACTGTGCTCATCCTTGAATGAGAAGTAATCTAAATCATCTATCAAGATCTGGCGTTTGTCCTTAAACATAGAGATAGATTCCTTCTGCTTCTCCCTCGTTGTCCACTTAAATGCTATAATTTTCCTCCCGATCTTAAGCAAGAGGGCTAGTTTGCAATAACAAAGAATAAATTTTAACAAAACAATTCACACAGGTGTAAGCACATCATAAATATAAAATGTGGAAAATAATAAAATGAGCATCCTAGTATTTCAATACTCTGGTTAAGAAGGAAACAGAACAGAAGCCTCCTCTGTTCTTCTCTCTGATACATTCCTCTCCCTCCCAATAATGAGTAACCCTTATTCTGGATTTTATAGTTATTACTCCTTTGGCTTTTACAGTAGTTTTACTACATGTGTATGTGTTATCGAACAATATATTATTTGGATTTTCATGCTTTTAAAGTTTATATAACTGGTATCCAGCAGGATGTATTCTATTGCAACTAGCATTTTCGTCACTGAATGTTATTTTTATGGGATTCATTCATGTTGAAACGCATAGCCAGGAATGATATTCAGAAGATTTAAAACAGTTACAGGAATATATATTTCAAATATTTCCTATTAGTCTTTAACTGTATATGTAGATATGTGTTTATGTAACTTATAAAACTGATTTCCAGATAATGTAAGTTGTAGTGCAAATACAATGTCAAATCTTTCTAATCATGCCCCAAATTATTTGATTTTTAAGAATTGTTGGTTTTGTTTGATACAGCTGTCACTAGCTAAATGATCTCTCTACCTGAGCCTTGGTTTAAAGTGGGGAACGGCATCAAATTCCTCTACTTTCTTTCTAGCAAATTGATCGTCATTAGGTGACTTGTCTCAATAAGCAGAAATTTTTTCCCTAAAATTAGGAAAGGATAAGTGTTAATGATACTGAGTCCTTTGTCATCGTCTGTTGAACTAACAGCAATTGTATTAAAATTTTTTTCTAGCTTTTAAAAGATTGTCTGGGTTTTATATACCTGTTTTGTCTATTACACAAAAGTCATTTATTGGAATGACATGTAATTAGGTTGACCTCGGCCATTCAGGCTGCACGAGGCAAGGTAATGTGGTGGCTAAGTGCATGGGCTCTGTTGGGCTTCCTATGTTTGAATCTTGGCTTTCTTTATCTCGGTTTCCTCATCTGTAAAAGAGGATAATGATGATAATTATAATTCTCAAATGAGTTAATAAATGTTTAGAATGGTGTCTGGCAATGGACAAGCATAAATTATCCTTCTTATTACTAAAACAAATGTTAATGTCCATGGTGGGAGGATGCTTGGTGTTCAAAAAAAAAAACTTGTCCCATGAAATGAAGATGAAATACAATACAGATGGGAAAAAGGGACGCTTGCACCTCAGTCATCTTTTAGCCCCAAATTTCCCCTATGCTCCAGTCCAACTCACAGCCTTCATCCTGTCACAGGATGGCCAGCAGTGCCAGCAAAGTCCACAACACCTGGCTGATGCCTTCAGTGTGACGCGTTACTGCCTGCCTACTGTTTCTGTTATTCCCTGACTCTCTTGGTACCAAGGTTGGGTGAAGGCTGCAGTTCCCACAAGTGGCCACATGCTGTCATCTTCTGGGTTCTGCTTTGGCTCTCCTTAGACACCCTAGAGCCAGCGCCCACAGCACTGGTTCTTACGCCAGCTTCAACTACAGTTTTTAGCAGAAGTTGAGAATACTGAGAACTTATTCTTCAGTGAACCGACTTGCCGGAATAACTGCCCTATGCCTGTCTCTGTGGCGCAATCGGTTAGCGCGTTCGGCTGTTAACCGAAAGGTTGGTGGTTCGAGCCCACCCAGGGACGGGAGCTAACCATTTTGAACAGCTGGTTGTCTGTCTTGAGACCTGTTAATCTCGCCGGAAGCGTCTTGCCCTACACTGTGAGGTTTTCGATTTCCCCACTTAGCCAGCATCCGGGGTCTTTTGCTAGCAAGTTTGAATCAGTTGCTCTGCGTCATTAGGGTTACAATTAGTAGTAAAGATTTTAGTTTCTTGATTTGAGTTCTACTGAAATGCATCATGAAACTGATAGTTTAAAAATATTTACTGACTAAAGGAAGTAAGTACTAATAATCCAAAGATGAATTCTTTTGTCAAACCTATGCCTGCCTCGCCTTTGTACTTGTATTTCCTAACTCCGGAAACGGGGATGTCCAGAACGTGGGCCCTGAGTCATGTGACATCCCACTGGTTCCAATTTTTGGAGAGTCCGGCTTCAATATACCTAATAGGCACCTTCCTCTGCAGCCTCGCTGCCATTTACTTCCTCATTACTTAGCCCTTGGGTACTGGAATAGCCACCTAGTCGGCCTTTCTGTCTTCAGTTCTCCTCTCCCTTCTATCCTCTAAGTAGCTGCCACAGAGGCTTTCTAAAATGCAAACCTGTGATGCTTAAAATCCCTCAGTGGCTTGCAGGGTTGGCTACAGTCTCCTTAGTTTGGAAGGCAGTGCCTTTCATGATCTGGCCCCTGAGCTCTGTCGGCTCCCTCACTAACTCTTTAGACTCAAGCAGAACCAACTACTTTCTTGGACCCCTACTCTGGCTTTTGAATCTTTTTCTCCCAAACCTTCAGCCTCTCCTCTTTGACTGGCAAACTCCTACTCATCCTTCACCACCATGCCAAAAATTAAGCCTCTTCTCTGCAGTTTTCTTCACTCTCTTCTTATTTACAGGTTATTCTCACTAGAATGAAAGCTCCTCCGATGAATGACCTTGTGTTGTTCATCTCCATATCGGTACCTAAACTCAAGCTTGCCACGTTGCAGGTACCAAATAAATGTGAGTTGAATGTTCAAAGTTTCCAAATGCACTTGTCTCAAGTCTGAATCTCATCTAATATTCATATACCAAGCTTGAATTGTCTTGGCATATAGCGCATAATTGACACAATTAGGCTGACCCTTTACCTTTGCTCAGCCCCCTCCCTCCTTCCTAGCTGAGCCTTCTCCTACCTGGCCCACGGTCTAAACTACTTGAATTTCCATTCACCCTCCTTTCCCATACCATCTCAAAACGTCCCCCTTTGACCAGTTGCTCAGTAAGATTTGGTGAATTAGCAAGCTGACTAATTCATGTGAGTTGTGGTGAGAAGGTTGGTGAGAGGAGAAGGGTTTTTCATCAACCCAAACCAATCCCTGATAGACTTTTAGATAACAAGAGGAAAAGAGGATTTTGTCATTCATGTTTTATTACCATGGTTTTTCCATCTTCTGAGAGTACCATGCAAAATCTTGTAAAATGCTTTATTGGAATCAAGAAATGATCTGTTTAAAGCTTCTGAAACAGAAAGAGATAGCTAAAGTATTCTTCCATAAGCAACGATTGGCTTCTCCATTCCTGCTCCATTGTTACTGACATTCAAAGGATTTCAAAGTTTCATAATTTAACTCGGTGGAGTTTAGTACATTTAGTGTTGGTTAGCCAACATTTGTTTAATGAATAACGTGAACAAAGCTATACCTGAATTTAATACTGAAGCTGAAAAGCAGGTTTTATAGTCCCTGCCCCTCCTTTCTCTAATTCTTACTGTCCTGGCGACAAAAGCATCCTTACCTCCTGCCCATTCCTTCCTGTGCAGTTGTAGTTGACTCTTTCTTGTTGTGCTTTCTCAGTTCAGACGCTGACATATCTCTGTTCACTGAGCTTAATCTGCGACAGCAATGCTGCTTTCCTTCATGTGGACACAGGCTTTGTTCCGTGTTTTCTTATCCAAATACCCCCAACCCCCAGCCCTCTTCCTAGGACCGTTTTCTACTCATGACATTAAAAAAGTTCATCATTATATACTCCCAGACTATCCCAATTCTGACAGGGCCTCCCCTGAAAAACTCCATTCTCCATCACCACTGTGATTTTCTGTTACCTCCCCCATGGCTCGTGTTCTAGGAAGACAGCCTCTGCGGGGATCTCCTCTGGTCTGTCCTGGACTACCCTGTCCTTTCTCAGCCACCCCCTTCATTGGTTCTGCTGTCTCTCCTAGACCCCCAGCAATCCCCACAGTCTGTCCGGAAGGAGTTTTAAGGTGCCTTGAAGGCAACTTGTCCTGCAGCAACAGATGCAGACCACTCCCCAGCTGGCCCTCACCATTGATTCTCTTACCTACTTATCCAATTACTTAAGAACAATGTTCATAATCAAGGGTCACCATCTGGAGGCTGTATTGTTGCGTTGCTGGGATGAACGGTTGGGACAGAGAAAGTATCTGTGTAGCTCTGAGACTTCAATTCCTGGTAATGTAGCTACTCCCTAGGGCTTCTCTGTTGGCTCTTTAAGATCACAGACCTTTCCTTTCCATTGGAGACTAAGAGAAAATGCAGTGGGGTGAAGGACCTTCAGGCTATACTATGAGGTGTAGTTTTCCTTCTGCTCCCAGAGATGCCTGTTGGGGATGATAGGGTTGTGAATCTAGAGAGAGGTTCAGAGATGCTGCTTTATTACCCATTTGGGATGGGGATGCTTCTTTTATTACCCCCATTTGTCCTAAGAGCCCCGGCTCCATGTGACTTTGACATTTTTCTGGTCTCTCATTGAATTTCGAAGGTCTCTCTGCACAGAGACATACAGCCCCGTGTCCACTGCAAACAGGAGTCCCATCACCAGGCAGAAAGTGACTTGGATCCAAGATGGAAAAAGTGGTGAGTCGGGTGGAATTGTAGGACCTAACAGAAGAAGCAGAGGGATGAGAAAAATGACAGTTGTTAAGGCAGAAATTTGGATTAACAGTGAGGTCATCGGTGGAGTGTCTTTTTTTTTTTTCTTTTGAGGAAGATTAGCCCTGAGCTAACTGCTGCCAATCCTCCTCTTTCTGCTGAGGAACCCTGGCCCTGAGCTCACATCCATGCCCATCTTCCTCTACTTTATATGTGGGATGCCTACCACAGCATGGTGTGCCAAGCGGTGCCATGTCCACACCCAGGATCCGAACCGGCGAACCCCGGGTTGCCAAGAAGCAGAACATACGAACTTAACTGCTGCATCACCAGGCTGGCCCTGGAGTGTCTTTCTGACGCCTGGCAAGAGGCAGGTTCTAAGGAATGGTGGGGGAGTTGGTGGAAAAGCTTTACTTCCTCCCGCTGAGTCCTAATCATAGAGCTACAGAGCAGAGCTCAGCTCATCAAACACAGCGAAACCGTCTTCATGTTTGATGGAGGTATATGACAGGGGGTGTTCAGCAAGTTACATTGTAGCTGAGTTTTGTATGAAATTATGAAATTTGTCAAAGTTTAAGCTGCTGTGAGAACATTATTTCTTAACTCAGCCACTTTCTCTTGTGTCTCAAAATTATGCTTATTGTTTTCGCCTCATATTGTTCTTTAACACTAAAGGAAATATGAAAAAAAAAAGGTGAACCATTGAAATTTGCTGCTTATTGGGAGAAAAGTGACACTATTTCTCTGTTGAGGCCCAGTAACTAATAACCCAAAAGGGAAAGAGGTAGAATTTGTTTGTTCTCAACCTCTTAGCCCTTAAAATTGTTAATTTACGGTCATTCTTTGCTGTGGTCTATAAGCTGGTAACATTAGAGTAAAGTTTTAGTTTCAATTTTTTAACTCTTAATTTTGATTTAATTTCAAACTTTAAAAAAAATGTTACCAGAACAGTGTACATAACTCTCATATATTTTTTCCTATATTTACTGTTTGCATTTTGCCCCCTTTGCTTCATTATTTGCTCACTTTTTCCCCTGTTTGAGAGTATTTACTTTCAATTTAAATGGTAACGAAATTATTTTTTATACAAATTATGGCAGTTTTGTTAAAATCTCAAAAGGTGTGTGTCTATCTTGCTGTCTTACTACATGTAAATTGCTTCCAAGGTGTGTCTTCGTCTGATCACAGGTGGGAGCTTTGTGAAATCAGGAAGTCCACGAGTGCCTCGGTGGGGGGACCCTGGCCGTGGAGGATGGCGCTGCATAAACTGGAGATGTTTTCTACGTGACTTAATGAGATTCAAAATTCTATTGTAGGACATTGGTGCCTGTTCAATTTGTTCATTTTGTCTAGTGGTTAAATATACAGGCTTTGAATCTTTGGAGTGACCTAAGGAACAAATTAATTCCCTTCTTTTTTTTTTTTTTTCACTTCGGTTACTTCATCTGTAGAGTCAATATTTCATATGTTGTTGTGAAGGGTCACTCTGGTCATGAAACCAGGTGCGTTTAAAGAAGCACTTAGCACACTGTCCAGCACACTGAAAGGTGCCAATAAATGTCAGCTTGTGTTTGTTACAGAGGAGGAAATTGAGGTTCAGAGACACTGAGTGTCTTACCTCTAATCACACAGTTATTTAGCAGCAAAGCCAGAACCCAGGTTCTAGGCCCTTTTTGTGAGGGGCTCCTGCCAGTTTGTCTGTTGGCTAAGATTCAAGGCTTGGAGAGGAGAGTAGGGCAGGTACAGACAGGCCAGCACTATAGGGACACATAACAGTGTCGGTGTGGTTTCAATGAGATAAATAAGAACAGACATATTTATGGGAGAGGAAATGTGACTTCTGCTCCTGCTGTCACATTGCAGAGTGATGACACCTCTCAGAACCCCACGTAAAGAAATCTGTGGCACAGTCAGAAATCTCCTCCCAACGAATCTTCCCAGTGGGAAGGCATACTCCACACACAGGGGGCTCTGAACCTTCTAGGGCTGTTCATCTCTCACCTTTAACAATGACGTTCATAGCCTTTGAAGACTCGTTTCTACTAGGCCCGATAAGCGCCCTGCAAAAGTAGGAGCCACTGTCTTCTTGTCTTGCTTTTGGAATGTGGAACTCAGAATTCTGATAAGAAAACTTCCTGCCTCTGCCATCCTTGAAATATTGGACCTTGTGCACATGCTTGTTCTTCCAGCTGTGGCACCTCAGCACAATGGGATCCCCCTCCTCGTACACCCACCGAGAGGCCTGGAGCAACAGCCAGTCTGAAAGACACAAAGAGACCAGAGGCCCAGGAGGCCTCAGCAACCAGTGTAAAGCTTTTGTGAAAGGGACACTCACCACCCGGATCCTAGGACATAACAGAAAGCCAGACTGGGAGCCATCCCCACATAGCTCCCTTTGGGAGCTGCAAGAGAACTCAAGTCACCTCAAGACCTTTTGTCTAATGAGGAAGAGGGACAGACACACACATGATTGAAACATAAGGTTAGAGCGGAGTTACCGAGTGGTGAGGTAGGTGAGAAGCAATCTGCAGAATCCTTAAGTGCTGCACTTAGGTTTGCTATGGCGGGTAATAAGGAGCCACAGTAAGTTCTAGATCGAAGAGTAAAAATTGCACTTGAAAATGATAATTTGCTCCGTTAAAGGAAAGATAGACTTCAGAAGGAATAGGCAGTTGTAGGAATATTGATAGACTCTTGCAGCCAGGCAGGAGCAAGGTCATTGGGTGGGCGCAGGGCTGCCTACAGAACTCGTGAAGGAGAGCTCAATACAAAAGTCAAGGATGGGAAAGAAAGGCATGCCCGCAGTGCTCGTGGTAACTGATTTCTGACGGGCTGCAGCACCTCAGTGAGGCCATCTTCATTACCGAGCATTGCTTTCAAGAGAGAAAATTCTTGTGTCACCAGGATACTTCTCACAACTGTCTCGCCAAGTAACCAGACTCCGCACAGACAGAACATGAAGTCATGGTCAGGAGGTTGATCTGAATAATTAAAAATGATATTGCACATAGGGGCCAGCCCAGTGGCGTAGTGGTTAAGTTCCCACGCTCCACTTCAGCAGCCTGGGGTTTGCACATTTGGATCTGGGGCACACACTGCTTGTCAAGCCATGCTGTGGCAGCAACCCACACACTCTCACACACAAAATAGAGGAAGATTGACACAGATGTCAGCTCAGGGACAATCTTCCCCAAGCAAAAAGAGGAAGACTCTATTGCCAATCTTCCTCACCGAAAAAAAGTAAAGAGACTGAAAAATGTCAAGCCCATTAACCAAAAAGGAAAAAAGGTTAAAGATAGTGCAGATAAGTTTTAAAACGACATGAGAAAAAACATTCATGAGACAATGTTAAGTTAAAAAGACAGGATACAAAAAGTATATATGCACAGAACAAAAAAGAAATATATATATGTAGTCTGGTAGCCTTTGGGGGAACACCTTTGTTTCAGTCTGTCCTGTCATGGACTTGATGTATGTCCATGGGTACGTCCATTCAATAAATATTTTATTTTATTTTTATTTTTTTTTAACGATATGCTTTATTATTATTATTTTTTTTTGGTGAGGAAGATTGGCCCTGAGCTAACATCCGTTGCCAATCTTCCTCTTTTTTTTCTCCCCAAAGCCCCCCAGTACATAGTTGTAAATCCTAGTTGTAGGTCCTTCTAGTTCTTCTATGTGGGATGCTGCCTCAGCATGGCCTGATGAGTGGTACTAGGTCTGTGCTCAGGATCTGAACTGGCGAACCCCAGGCCCCAAAGCAGAACACAAGGAGCTTAACCACTTGGCCATGGGGCCAGCCCCAATAAACATTTTATTGAGCACTCACTATGTACCAGGTGTTGTGCAGAATGCGGATACCCAGATGGCTAAGACACATAAGCCCTAACCTCAAAGAATCTGTAGTCTAGACATAGAAACACACATACTCAGAAATAATTACAATACAATGTGACAAGTACTACAACAGGCTAAGAACAAAGGACTACAGGACCAAAGAGAACGGAACAAAGAAATGCTGCCTGAAGCAAGTAAAGAAGCCTTCTCAGAGGAGAAGATAAGTGAAATGGGTCCTGAAGGATGATCAGGAGTTTGCCTGGTGAAGTTAATCGTCATGGTCGCGGTTTAATACAGTCCTCATTGACTGGACTTCTAAAGCCAGTTTCTAGAGCCAAGTTCAAGGCAAACTAATAACTCTTAGACTCAATTTTTCTATTGCTTCCTGTTGGTAATTCCCCATTTTATTTGGTCTTAGGTGGCCATCTCTCACCTACGTAGATAATAGACTTTCCTCCTTGTAGCTCTGTAGACTGGGGACCATGTCAGCTAAGTGGCCCAATCAGAGGCAAAGGAGCCACAGAAAAGTCAAGTTCAGAGGCCCAATTCTATGAAACTCTGCTGCAGGTCTGCCTCCATTAGACCCTCCTTCCCCTCTAGGCTTGCTCTACCCATGTACATTGTACAAATGGGGCAGCCATGGAAGTCGACTCAGGCTTGCAAGGTGACACTGCAGGTACCAGGCCGTGTCGTGTGATTCCAGGGGCACCAGGAAAGATCCTTGCCTCCAAAATACTTCTCCTACCCGTGTCTGATGCCTGGATTCTGTTAACAATACCTGGAGACTTTCATGCCACAATTAATGTACAGGCTGAACATGTATATATTGTATATATCTCTATTAGGGAGATATCACATTGCCAAATTTATGCTGAAGTGTAAGTTTGAGTGTGGCATTGACGAGAAGAGAGAGATCAGTATGATGCTAGACAGTTAGGGATAGTTAGGTGGGCAGCTTAGGGCATTGCGTTTCTGAGAGTGAGAAAGAGATTGAGGTCCTAAGAACAGATTTATTGATTTTCAATAAATATTATTGAACATCAATGTCATACCCTGACCTTCAGATGACACCATTGGTGTTGCATGTATTCTATGTGAGGTGCTTCCTGAAATTATGCAGTGCAGCAGTCCTGTATCTGTTATATGTCAGGCTTTGGCATTTTCCCTAGGGCTTACTTGTGACTAGGACTACAACTTTGATATAATTCACTGGGACCAAAGATCATCTCATCTTAGTTTTAACCCCCAAGCACCTCATCTTCTGGCTCTTCCTAAGCCTTTCAGGGTCTCTTGTTTCACCTTGTATTGGTGATTTCTCTCTTCCCCTTCACCTACTCACCTGTGTGGACTTCTAGTTGCACTGGGTCACTGAGTGGTGAGAGGGCTGTCTTGCACTGGTACACTCCACTGTCTTCAACTCTGGCAGCTGCGATGGAGTAGCTGGAGGATTGGTTTTCTATGACGGTCCCGTTGTGAAACCACTGTGTAAAATGGTCCTCTGAGGAGTAGGATCCCTGGCACCTCAGAACCACCTCGTCGTCCTTGAGCACCCTGTTCCATTGAGGGTCTAGGGTCACCTTAGCCTTGGGGTGATCTTCTGAGGAACCAAGAGAATGTGGATGAGGACAAGGAGATGAGCAGGCCCTAAGCTGGCATTCCCGGGGAGGCTCAAAGCCAGGGTGAACCCATTGCAAACCCACAGTTGGTGACTCAGCCTTAGAGCATCTTGACTTGGAGGCACTTGGCCCTATTTTTGGCCTCTCTTTCTCTTGAGAAAAACTGGCCAGAGAAACAGAGGGCCAAGATCCACTGTGTTGGAGGAACTGCCCCTGAAAAGCCCCCCATCAGCAGTTTCCCATGCAACTGACATTTCCCAACCCCCTGCGGCTGCTGCACCCTGTGTGCCTCACTCGGCCAATCCAAGACCATGAAGCAAACTCACCAGCTCGTGTGCCAGCTGAAACTGCAAGAAAAAAGAGTGAAACCAATATTGAGCAGAAGCAGAGATCCGGGTAAGCGTGGAGTGAGTTTAAACTTCCCTGCCCACCACTGCGCTGAGAGTCCACTGTTTCCAAGAATCAAGATACAAGGAGTGGACAGCTCTCCTGCTGCCTGACCTCTGGTCTCCAATGTCTGTGCCTCTTGCCCAACTGTCCACCCAAATCCCTGCTTTCAACACCATTCTCCTACCCCTTGGTCCCTGTTCAAACTCCAAAATTAAGGGTACAGATTGAATTTCCCTGAATCAAACCATAGAAGCAACCTCAACCCAAGTCATCCAGAAAGGGTAGAAATCAAAAGTCTTAGAAGGGAACCCTGGAATGCCAGACCTTGGGGAACACCTAGTCCATACTTTTCAATTTACAGATAGGGAAACTGAGACCCGGAAGGGTGAAGTAACAGAGACCTCACAGTCCCCCTTCACCTCCCCCTTATGCCCAAATCAGAGCCAGCGTTTTCCTTATCTCTAGTCCCCCAATGGTTTGTCCTAGAAGCTAAATCTAGGGCTATAGATGTGATAAGGGGTCTTAACCCCTGGTAGAGGGACCCGTCCTTGGCCTTAAAAGGGTACCCTGCTGAACCCAGGGCATCTTGAGCTTCTCCTTCAGCCAGGGTGATTCTGACTTACCCAGAAGTAGCAAAGCCGTTGGTGATAGCATCTGCCACATTCTGCAGCATTAGAGTAGACAAGTCACCACAGATGCCCGGAGCCCTGAATGGACCCAGCTGACGTGAAGAGAGGAAGTCAACAGCCTTTCCTTTAACACCCCAGCCCATTAAACACCAGGTTCCTTTTCCGGAACATCATCTGATTCCTGAAACTGAACTCTGACAAGTGAGCCCCGTGATAGGGTGGGAAGAGGAGGGAAAGAGCCTGAAGAGAAGCTGAGGTGTACATGCCCGCTTTGCTCCATGTAGATATGCAGCAGAGCGTCTACTGACAAAGTCTGTCAGGAGCACCCTCTGAAATCTCAGGATCTCTTCCTCCACCTCCTGAGTTTGGATCCACCCAGTGCTGAGAATGGAATAGCACGACCCTGGGGATGAGACAAGAGGGAGGGCATTCCCTGAGGGGTCTCTTGTTCTACCTCAGAACTTCTCACTCTCCTGCTCAGCCCAGCCCTGTCTCTATCCAGCCAGGGCCTGCCTACGTACAAAAAGTAGTCATTTAAATCTTCAGGCCCCTAGAAGTGTCTCTCACCCCAATATTATCTCCACCAACATTTTCTTTCAAAATTCAAAATGCATACGCCCCGGCATCTGTAATCTCAGGAGCTACTATCTTCTTAGTGTGAATTTGATCATGAGATTCACATCCTCTGTTAAAACAACCCCAAGCAATGGGAGAGAAGTGAGCCCTAGGAGGAGGAGATACCACTGTAAGGTTCAAAGGAATGCAGAAAAGGTGGGGTGGAGGGGAGGGGGCCACAGCCAGGCGAGGACAGCTGCTCTTTACCTTCATCCCAGTGTTACCAGGGCTGTGCTGAGCCACAGTAGCTCAGGTTAGCTTGGGTTCCTCAGGGACCCTTTGGGCCTGGGCTGGTCTGTGAACCTAGCAGCCAGAGTTCCAGGGCTCCTTGCCGGAAAAGGTGGAGGTGCAGTGGCCAGGAAGTGGTGAGACTGTTAACCTCTTCTTCTTTCTCTAGATGCCCCTTCTCCCACCAACACATGCTCACACTTACCCGTCCCCACCGTCTCACGTCACTCTCATGTCAGTCCAGTTCTCAGACAGAAAAATCAAATGGGTCTGCTTGGCAATGCCACTCCCCCAGCAGGTTCCTGGACTCCTGGGACAGGTCTCAAGTGGAAAAGCCTTGGAAAAGCCCAGGAACTAAGCAGTAGACAGATGTGGGCAAGTGACATTTGGCAGGGGTAAAGTGGAGGCAGGGGCTGGCACAGGTGCCTGCTGACCACTGCTTTGGACTGATGCCCTGTTCCACTCCAGAGTCGTGTGAAAACCACTTCTCAGGTTTCTTTCTTTTTTCTTTTTTTTCTTTTTCTTTTCTGCTTTATCTCCCCTGTACACAGCTGTATATCTTAGTTGCACGTCCTTCTAGTTGTGGGATTCAGGTTTCAATTTTTGTTTTGTTTTGCTCCTGGGCAGAGTTAATTGATCCTCCCCTATTCCCACCCGTCCTCGCCCAACACACGTTCTTGCAGCCGCCCTTCCCCCATAGGCCCTTGGATTAGATGTCTGATTAGGATGGACAATGGAAACAAACCAGGCAGCCATTCTCCAGAACTGTGAGAAAATAAATTTCTTTTGCTTAAGCCACCCTGTCTGTGGTACTTTGTTATAGCAGCCTGAGCAGACTCATACAGGAAGCCAAAGAGTGGGCTGTGATCTAGGCTTGACCAATTCATCTCTTCTGGGATGCTGAATCCTGAATAAGTGACACTTATTCACTTATAAGGTAGGGAGATGGTTGGGTCCCAGGCATCACGGCAGTGGGATAGGCTGACCTGCCTCCAGTTTCCACCCAATAAATTCCTTTCCTTTACTTAATATATCCAGATCCCGATACAGTTGCTTGTCATCAAGAGCCCTGAGAGATACAGTAGGAAAGGGGATCAGAAGTTGGTAACTAGAGGCGATCAAGGAAAGAAAGGGAGATTTTGTTTTGTTTTAAGTGAAAGTCACTGAATTTGTTTAATGGCCATTAGGATGAATGGCTTCACTTTCCACTGAACTCTACTCATCAGACAGTTATAAGCTCACCCAGATTCAAGGGCAGGGGATATAGATCCAATCTCTTGATGGAGAGAGTGTCAAAGAATTTGTAGCCATGTTTTAATACTGCTGTAGCTGCCACTCTAATAAGTTTTTGAAGATTTCCTCATGTTTTGATTAAAGTGATTAAAGTGAAACCCTTAAAATAGAGAGGGCCTGTTAGACATGGATGGGAGACTGTAAAATGGAGGGACATAAAGAATTTTCATCCTATTCAAGGCCAATCACAGGAAGAACGGAGGTAGTTGGTACTAACTGCAAAGAAGAAAGCCAGAAAGACACTATCCATCCGTCTCCTTCCAGACTTGAGTGTTTGGGAAAGATGATAATAGCAAGGAAACAGTGTATTTCATGACATTATCTTAGTTCAGGGCTAAAGTGCAGTGAGGAGATAAGTAGGAAACAAGGACTTGAACTTGAATCCACAGTAACCTCTGAGTTCTTTGCAACTCAAAAATTGCCATGACTCAGTTGATTTAACAAATATAATACAATATATAGGAGGGGGTAGCACTGCCCGCTATCCATCCCCCTTCATCCTTCGTAATACAATTCTGATTTTATTCAGGAAGCCACTTCATCCCATATGCAGAGGTGGATCCTGTTATGTCTAAGCCACTCAGGGTGTAGCATTCCCCTGTCTTTTATTGACTAGGTGGGGGAGAAAAGGAGACACTGTCCAAAATTGGTCTACTCAGGCAGAAAGGAATGGCTTTTACATGTTGTGTTTGCAAGAGAGAGTCTCTCTCTTCCACTGGACATGAACAAGGACTCATTTTGTCTCAAGTTCTGCTGACAGCTTTTGTTAAGTCTTTGAGGGCAGCCAGCCTGAGGCCAAAGCCAAAATGTCAAGGAGGGCAGAGAGGAAAGAGGGAAAGGATAGAATGTGGCCTTGGTGACATCACTGAGCTTCTGAAGCAATCAATCCAGATTTCTTATACTTTGAGATATATTTCCTTTTTGTTTAAGCCTGTTTAAGTCCGGGATTGTTACTTGCAACCAAAGGCATCCTAATGGACGCATAGGTATTTACTGAGTACCTAACAAAAGGATAAAAAACTCTCTTTCTGAAAGGAGCGCCTAATGAATAGGGAGGGGAGACTTGGCATTTAATGAAGAATAAAGAATACTGACCTGGAGGCCAGGAGCTCTAAACCTAGCTATGCGACCCTGAGCAAGTCACCGAACCTGACTAGATCTCACCCTCTACATCCATGAAATGAGAAGGTGGCTGCATGTTTCCTAAGATCCCCTATGATTAAACGATTCTGTCTTAGTGAATGTCAACTCGAGGAAAGATGACTCCCTCACTTTTTTCTGTTAAGCATCACTGGTCCACAAAGAAAGGAACAGTTAAGGCCTACAGAAAGGCAAAAAGCAATTTAATTCTCTCTTAGGAAATATTTCTACTTATTCATTTTAAAGATTGGCACCTGAGCTAACAACGGTTGCCAATCTTTTTTTTTTCCTTCTTCTCCCCAAAGCCCCCCCAGTACCTAGTTGTATATTTTAGCTGTAGGTCCTTCGAGCTTTGGCATGTGGGACGCTGCCTCAGCATGGCCTGATGAGCAGTGCCATGTCCGCGCCCAGGATCTGAACCGGTGAAACCCTGGGCCACCAAAGCAGAGCACGCGGACTTAACCACTCGGCCACAGGGCTGGCCTCCTTATTCATTTTAATAACAAAATATAGTAATCTGTGAACTAATAAATACAACAGATACCAAAAATCACTTAATAAAAAATGTTTGCTATTACATATCTAGTAAAGTGAGGAAAAGAAATAGGAAAGGAAATTGGTGGTATAAAAGAAAAGGGAGGGAAGGCAGAGAGTGAGACATGAAGACATTAAACGGAGACAGAAGATAGAGAAGAACCAATGCGGAAAAGCTGAGAAGGACACAGATACTGGGAAAGTAAACAATAAGAAGCAAGATAGCCAGGTTCACAGACACCGAGTCTCGACCATGTATGAAAAATACACTCAGAACAAAAAACACACACAAAGGCCTGGAAACAGACACTCCTGAAGTGACAAACACAAAGGCAGTTATGGGGCAGATGAGAAAACGACTCCAAAAAACAGGAAGAGATAGATGGAAGCAAGGGAAGAAAAATACAAGGAACTGAAATAGATTTTGTGGTGTACTCTTAAGCCACAGCCTGTTTACTTTGGCTGTGGTCATTAAAATAATGTAGCTTATTGACCTATAAGAGCTTCCCAGAAATTTGATGCTACCTGCTAGGATGACTTATAAATGCCCTACCTTGTTATCTCACATAGGGACACACTTAGAGTCCCCCAAAACTTACAAAATTTTCCAGTGTCAAGAGAAGAGTGTTGGTGATGTGTAAGGGGGGGGGGATCTCAGGGGAGGAGGAAGGAAATCCAGGTTTTGGTTTCAGTCTGACAACTGCTAGCTATAGGCCACTTCACTTCCCTAAAACTCTGTTTCCTGCTTTGTAAGTGAGGTAATTGGGCTAGGTTATATTTAGCTCTTCCCATCTTTAATATTTATAGTTCTGAATGTGGACTTCTGATGGTAATTGCTGGACATTGCAGAATGTAGTTGTCTTTGTCTTCTAAAAACCATAATGAAGGCCATTGGACAACTTTTGGGAGCCAAAAGAATTTTCCAGCAGAGCTAGCAAATTAGTATCTCTAAGATTTAAAAGTTAATTATAAAAACTGAACTCACGCTTTCATTCATGTGCAAACTAGTGGGAACCTACTAGAAAAATAAAAAGCAACACCAGAAAGAAACCTTAGTTTTGAAAAGGAAATGGAAATACTGTTTTGTTTTTGTTTTTGTTTTTTGGGGTTTTTTTTTTTGTCAGTGCCATCCTTTTGGAGATGAGGGGAAGTTTGGAGGCATCAATGAGAGCATGAGCAGAGCCCAGAACCATCTAGAGATTCAGTCCTTGTCCCTCTTACCAATGTTTTGTTGTTGTTTTAGACAATTTTTTGTTTGAAAATACACACATGACCTATAATATATTCTTGCTGTTAAATAAGGGCACAATTCAGAAAAACATAAGGT